CCACCAAAAGGAAGAGACAAGACAAATTCTGTGGAGTAAGTAATAATTACAAAAACGGGCTGGTATTACTGTTTAAATAATGAAGATGGCTGACCTCTTAAATCAATAAACTATGATTTTTCAGCTATAAGAACTTAAAGAATTTGTACATTCATTGAATGACACTTTTGTCTCAAGTAGGTACAGATAATTCCCAAATTAACTCATCCCCACTGAAGAAATGGGACATGTCTAAAGCAGACTGTAAACTTTATGAGGTCATCTTCTGCAGAGCTCCCACCCGGATGCCTGGCACAGATGAGATGTTCAGAACATCTTTCTTCTTGAACAAACATAAAAATAACTTTAAGCAATGGATACTGCAGTAGAACAGGGAATCACACTGAAGAGGAATCTGGGTGACAGATCAGCTTAACTACAAAAGCTATCAAAGGAAAATTTTCACAAAACTAACTCAGAAAACAAAATTAATCTAGAAAGCTGTTGCTATGCTCTAAGCTAAATATGTTCTGTTATGTCCCCAAATGTCCATGATAATGTTGTAGTTAAAGAAATATTTGTTTTCTTAAAAAGTTAGCATTCAAACCATTGTCAATCATCCTTGTATAAAAGCTGAGCATTTCAGCCATAAACCTGGTTTTTGTCTGACATCATCAAGCACAGTATTTTCTTTTCATGAGGTCTCCTATTGGAAGTCACTGTAGACATTTCCACAAAGGCACTGCACAATACCATAGGCCAACCAGACAAAATGTACTTTCCTGGATTTCCCTGTAGTTTGATAATGAAGAAAGAGAAATTAAGCTAAAGCATCCCCCCTCTGAACCATCATCTTTCTGGATATTCTAAGTACATGGTGGCCCAGCTGCATCACTGACCTTCCAGGACACTGAAACTTCCCACTTCCAAATGCCATGAAGCTGTCCAAGAAAGAGTACTTCTCTAAATTTGCCTCTTTCCAACGTTCCTGTGGGAAGAAAACATTTTTTTTTTTTCCAAATCAGCCTTATATAAATAAGCTTAACTTTATTTCACTAGGCTAAAAATGACCTTGTACAGCTAATCCTTGCATATAAAGTTGCAGGGTTGTTGGTAATTTTTTCCAACTTGTTATTAGTATCAGACACGATTATGTGTTTGGAACATGAACTTATAAATAAAAAGGTTTAAAAAGAATTCTGTTAAGTGGTAAATGTAAATGATAATGTAAATCAACAACAGAATTGACCTAAGAAGCAGAAGAGTATTTATAATAACATCTTGAGATGCCTCATAAAATTGCTCTGGGCAACACATTTAGTAATAAGACAGGCACGGCCCTGCCTGTTGGAGAAAGGTTGGGATGCAGAATACGTCTGGATGCCATTTTTGACAGTTTTACCTAAAGGCAGAGAATGGACTAAATGGCCTAAGATTCTGTTCAGCTCTGTAACTTCCCAAAACTAAGAAGTAGCAGATCATGGTTTTAATTTGCTTTATTTTTACTTTTTGTACTCCTTGGAAACCAACAACAGAAGCAACTGAGTAAAGAAAATGAACTAAGTCTTTTATCAGAACTGGGCATGTTTACTTTAACGTGCCCTCTGGGTTCATATGACATTTATTTTAAAGTTAGGGAAGTTTGTTTCAAACACTTTTCTGTCTGGTTTATAAATGTCCTGCTGTCTATGTTACAAATCTAATCTATTTGCTACTCTGTAGCAAATTTTGCTCTTATTTACTAGAGAAATAGGACTGCTTAATGACAGCATCCTAGTCAACTTATGAATTCATACTCTTGGCACAAAAAGGACACGGTATATTGAAAGAGAAAACTTACAGGTTTGAACAGCTCAGGTTCAGGAAAATACTTTGGATTTCTATGGAGCCAAAATGGAGACAGCATCAACAAGTCACCAGGAGGAATGACATAATTCTATGATAGAAAAATCAGTTCCAAGTCATTTTTTTGAAATATACTTAAAAGACAGGTTGTGTCATTAAAACAATGCTACCATCATATTGTGGTGAAGACTTACACATTTTATAACTGATGGCAAGAAAATATAACTCTTTACTGAACAGGCCTTTTCAATTTTCAACTTAGGTGATAACTGGTTTCTAATTCTGATTATTAGGTACATGTACATACATGCATGTAGTTGGCTAAATGGAAGGAAATACTAGTATCAGAGACTAATACTAGTCAAAATTTTAGAAACTGGTATCAGTCCATTCTAACGCAGCTTTGATGGGGGGTACTGGGGTTTACAGCAGAGTGAGTTTCCTCAAGCAGCAGAGTCTATATCATCCTTCCCAATTCATGTTACAGTATGTTCTCATGGTTTATAAACTGTGCTAAGAACTAAAAACCACTTCATAATGTCTCCCTTTCATCACCATGTTCAAGAACCATAAAGAGACCTCCCATGCTGTGTGATCACACAATTGCTACCAGCTTTACTGAAGGGAAGATATATTATCAGGTAACTTCCCATGGCCAGTCATCATAAGTCTTATCTATTTATCCCTGTATAATTCTGAAATGTTCTCAAGATATTTGCAAAACACTTACTTCAGGTTTACATATCCCATTGGTTCTCAACCTGTGGGTGGCGACCCCTTTGTAACAATGAAAATACATCCTGCATATCAGATATTTACATTACAATTCATAACAGTAGCAAAATTACAGTTATGA